ATGAAAATAAAAACAATAACCTCGAGGAACTAAACAACCAATCACAACAGACGTAACGTGTGCAAATAAGAGTCGCAGATCTATGGCTTCACTTGCTGAGAAATGGTCACAGGCAGTACAGAATAACCATCAGCGAGAAAACAACCAATCAGAAGACGTTGCTTCTGTACTAACAATAACGCTAATAATAATGTACATGAAAATCTATAAGCATCGGTGGCACAGCGGTTAGGACGCTCGCCAACCATGCACATGATCTGGGGTTCAATTCCCGGCCGACTCACTCCTTTACCGCGCTAAGCCAGAAATAATGCTAGTAAAGAGGAAAGGTTGGGCATGGGGCTAGCAACCCCATCCTGTAAAATGAACACTGCTACAGAAACTTCAAGCCACTAGCTTGAAGCCCTATGTTCCACTGGGGAACGTGAAGGATAAAAAAATGAAAATCTATAATTATCTTTTGATTTTCTCAACAAAGGATCTATTGCCTGGCCCTTGTCTTCTATCGTTACAGTATGACATAGAACGGGCTGTGAGTGAAAGAAAATTATTATTATTATTTTGTGTGTCATCTTGAAACCGCTGTTTGCTTTAAAATTTGCTTATCTTGTCAAAGTTAAACTTTAAGCACCACTAACTACCAATCAGCGAATGACCTCGAACGCACCAGCCACTTGAAGGAGGCATTTGTATGTATGGAATACATATATTTATGGCAAAAAATGCATAAAAACTGTAAAAAAAAAGAAGTTTTACAGAGGATACCTTCCTCTCACATTTGATAAAAATAGCCCTTAGTTTTAGGTTGAAGTGTCAACTGAGTATAATTCCACTGCGGGTAAACTTTATTTTGTTATAGTCTCATTGTGTAATACAATAATATTTCCTGAACAGTAAATTGTGCTCGAAACTTTGTCATCTGTAAATATTACTGTATAAATCAAATGAACTGTAGTCAAGATTTGACAGAATAGTTCTAAAATATTTGGGCGCCGAGTGAGAAGTAGCTAATTTTGTAAAAAATTATATTTGTAAAATCTCAGCGATATTGAAATGAGTAATTCCAACGTTTTGTTCGACAATCTGGTCCGAACTTCTTCAGGGAAATTAATCGAAACTAACATAACAGAGGTCAAATTCTGATCACAACTCATACAATTTTGTTTATTATACTTGTTAATACTTGTTTTATGACTCATGATTGGACAACGTTTTTATAAACAAGAGATGGTTTTTTTTATAAATAGACCCTTGTTATGTTAATTTCGATTAAGGTATCCCTGAAGAAGTTCAGACGAAACGTTGGAATTACTCATTTCAATATCGCTGAGATTTTACAAATATAATTTTTTACAAATGTCTACTTCTCACTCGACGCCCAAATATTATAGAACTATTCTGTCAAATCTTGACTACAGTTCATTTGATTTATTTTGTAATCGAATTAAATTAACAAAGAAACTATGTAATTGGCACAATCATTGTGTTTCCACTCTCCGTTGTCTAAAAAAGAATGTGTATCCTAAATTCGTAGCTGTCCAGTCACCTGACAACTTCAGTAGGTCGAATATAGCAGCTCAACCTTCAGAAAGAAGACAAAGTAATAAGTTTGACGGGGTTGTTCAACTAAACTCTAATCCTAAACACCATAATTTTGAAGATACGTCTAATCATAAAATTCTAGATACTAACAGTTTGAACAGACATGAAGGTTTGATGTTAGCTGGCGCATAGGAAATCCTGATTAATAAATAAGAATGGATATGTATCACTAACTAATAATACTTGGTCAAAGTTTCCCGACTGTCTATATCTACTTATGGAGACGTTAAGACATTGTTTTACAACTGTTTATCCGCACACATACACACACACTGTGTTTAAAGTGTTTAACAAAGGTAGATCAATATTTGTAAGTCTGAGGTCAAATTTTGATCACAACTCGTACAATTTTGTTTATTATACTTGTTAATACTTGTTTTATGACTCATGATTGGACAACGTTTTTATAAACAAGAGATGGTTTTTTTTATAAATAGACCCTTGTTATGTTAATTTCGATTAAGGTATCCCTGAAGAAGTTCAGACGAAACGTTGGAATTACTCATTTCAATATCGCTGAGATTTTACAAATATAATTTTTTTTACAAATCACTGTATAACACTGTGAATATTTATCACAATAAATTTTACCCACAATATCATTACACTGTACCAATAGTGCACAAGTTCTATTCTTACATCATCAGAGTGCATCGGTGGCACAGTGGTTAGGACTCTCGTCGACCATGCACATGGTCCGAGGTTCGATCCCCTGCCGCGACGCACACTTGATATCTATAGTCGGCCTGCAAAATTTGGGCTACGGATATCCATGCTGAAAATTCCATACTAGTACCAAAAGTACAGTGTGGAATCAAGTTGTAATCAAAAATAAAAAATATAAAGTAATTTAACCACATTCTATGCATGTAATTATTTAGGTCTTCTAATCCTGACAATAACCCTAATCTTTCCTGAACCAAACCCCCTAACATGAAAATATCCCCAAGCTAACTGTAATCTAACTTGAACAAAACCTACTGTCGCCTCCCACCCAAGCTAACTCTAAATTGTCCTTGGGGCTTAAAGAGCAACTTAATCTTTCTAAAACCTAAACTGAAACTTGCCAGATATCCCATTTTTAGTAACCCAACACTTCGATGAGCATATTTTACTGATGAATGAAGACAACATTACTCGCCAGTTTTCACTAACATACTCTGTGAGCGTTCCAAAGTCACCGGGGTATGGTCGCCCTACATTGGTGGTTAATGGTGCTTAAAGTTTAACTTAACCTAAAATTGATTAGACATTTAAATAAAATCAATATAAGATAGAGTACATTAACACACAACCACACCATAGGGGGGAGGGTGGGACAAAGTCAAAATTCTAAAAAAGTACTATGGGTAGGTGGAGATTGAGAGAAATTGATTACTGAATCCTGCCTGGTTCATCAGGTCCATATCCAACACATGCAATAGAAATGACTCAACGCAAATGCCAAAGATATAGAAGATATTATTACCACCAGTCAGTCAGTCGAATCAGAGGAGGATAATAAATAATCTTAAAATTCTATTTCGATTCACGTACATCACAATATTCTAACAAGTTACTTATTTATTTTGACTATAAAGACACTCGTCTTATTTCCCATCTGATTGTATTTGATTGATAACACTAAGATTATTATTTCCAAATGTACTTTATCATCTAATATTGATTTTATTCAAATGTCTAATAGCATCAATTTTCACTCATGTATATAAATGAAGCAAGAAAGTGAGTTGTGTGACCGAGTGCCTTGTTATGATGATTATGAGTGGCAATGATAATTTGTGCTCGAAACGTGGTGGTCATCAGTAAATATTACTTACTGTATAACACTGAGACTTTATCAAAGTAAAATTCTATTCATAATGGAGTTATACTCTAGCATAGTGCCCAAGTTTCATCCTTATATCAATAAGCCACACTTATTGTTTAAACGTTATTGTTCAAAATCAGATGAGAAAGGCGAGATTCTAAGGACCATTCAGAGATCCATTCGCTGTAATTGGGAATGCTTAAGCCAACGAGCAACATCTCCAAGTGGTATCTGTCGTGGAACAAGAAGTCTAATGAATAGTGTTTCGGTGTTTGAAACGACGAGCGCTGAGAATGAGCCTCAATGGGAATACGATCACTCACTGGGGACTGTAGGTGCACCTCGATGACGAGCCCCAAATAGGATGAAGTGCATATATTGGCTAGATCCCAGAGCCACCAAATTACTTCAGGTTGAATCAGACATTGTCGAAGGATCCATACTAGGATCTGACATATCAACAGAGGCCAAACATTTCAGTTCAGTATCACCCACCGATCGACGGGGAAAACAAAATTGTCTTAAACAATATAACACCTTCAAACGATTGGAAACCAACAACAACTACAGAGGTCTTCATCTTCATATCCTAAAAGTTATAGTAGCCAATTTTCGCCTAAATTACTCTAATTTTACTTATTGAATTAGTTAGTTAAATAAATAATCAGTAGAATACGATCAATCACCATCATCGGGAGAGACTTGGAGGAGGTTATTCCCTTGACTTATCTAGCCAGGAGGCATAGTTTCAACCAGAGGCGACAACACGGATAAAGATGTCTAAGCAAGGCATAATCGCATAGGCAAGATACACCTTCATCACTCTGGAATCAGTTTGGAAGTTTTCTACACCCAGCCAGCATAAACAACAAGATTCCCACTTTCAACAGTTCTTCTATACAGGTCAGAAACTTGCCAGATATCCCATTCAATAGCATGATACTTCGATGAGTATATTTTATTGATGATGACAACATTTCAAGGTCATTAGTGCGGCCGCACTCCATTGATAGTTAGTGGTGCTTAAAGTTTAATAATAATAATAATGGTAAAGCTTTATTTAAGACTGTATGCAAGTATACGGTACAAAAAGTTTCAGCGTATTCAGTTCCAAAGTACTTTTTTTCACACAGGATTCATATGTAAAGTAATAATCTGAAGTATATCTTCATTTCGTTGAAGAATTGTACAGCGTTTGCTTGGGAGCAAGTTAATTCATCGCGCAAGTTAATGTATAGGTCATTTGATATAACTAGACGACTAAAACAATGATAAATCCAGATGAAATTGAGCATTTTGGAGGAAAGTAATTTCGGTAGCCCAATGATTTAAGCAGGCCGTCAGTAACTTGACCCTTATCTCTATTTCATTTTCGGTGTATTCGCAAAGCAATCACCATATCACTGGTGTCATTCGCTTATAACTTACTCAGAAGAGAAAATTTTATCTACTGACCTGAGTAACACATGTGCTGAAAGACTGAGTCACAATAGAAATGGTATTTTAACCAATGACTATCTTGGTTGCATAACACTACACACATATATAAGTCTCTAAGATATTCTCCAAATATTGTGATTTTTACGATGAAAGGTAGTAGGCAGAAGTCACAGAAAGAGAGAGAGTGAATTAGTGAGTGTGTGTGTGAGACAGAGAGAATTGGTTAGAAGAAATAAATAAAACTGTGTTGCTTGTTTGTTACTTAAACACAAACAAATCTAGTGACACATAGAACACAGAAAATGGAATGTCACCTTGCAAGGGACAACTACACGATGCAGTACAAACACACAAGATCAAAAATTTTTAAAAATAATTCATCACAGCACTCATAGACACAGCCAAAAGGTAAACGATAGATAGATGGATAGACAGACAGACAGATAGCCAGTTTTCATTTGTACCCATTGATTCGTTACAGATCATTCATCTGTGTGTTGTGAGACACGTAGCGTGTCTGTTTAAATGAGCGCGCGCGCGCACGCGCAAAAGACAAACACAAACAGTGTGTGTGTGTGTGTGTGACTGAGCGATATATGGACAGATGCTTGTGTTTACACATTTTTCTCTTTCACTACTAGCATTAATCACGTATGTTTGTTATTAAAACGGCCTGTATTTTTAAGAAAATATCCTTTCTATTCAACTTAAATAAGCAAGAGTTACACTTGTTGTATATGTATTAATAATACTATTGAACATTGAAACCTGTCAAATTATCTATCAAAACAATTTTACTAAGGATATATATACATATATATATGTGACATTTACGCAAATAATTCTTTCTTGTCTCAACTATTGGAACATTTAACTGTGAACAGACTCTATTTACGCAATCCTGTAACTAACTACCTGCTTGCTAATTATTTTATGGAATGATAAAGATAATGAATTCAGCTAAGAAATGACCAATTATCGTACGGAATTACGTATACCTGTTGAACGTAATAAAAAATCCGTTATTCATGATAATTACCTGAAAAATTTTAGTAATTTTGACAACGATACAGCCTTTCCGTTAGACGATAAATGGAGATATAATAATCATAGTAATAACACCAATAAATTTGACTGGGATTCACGTCATCGTCATACATCTGGTAGTAATGATCAATTTTGTCATCAAATTCCATGGCATAAAAGGTTTCGTACAATCTCAGCTAGTCCAATGCGATTTACTGAGACAACGGACTATCTTTACGATGATATGAAACGTAGAATGGAGGAAAGACGAAGACGATGGAATGAAGAATTTCGATTAATGCACAATGATATCCTGTCACCTAGTCGACTGTCTAGTTCCAATGATTTATTTAGCAGTCGAGATGTAATAAATTCACCATCGAGTTCACGAGATACATTAACAACAACAGCAGCGACGAAGACAAGTGGTTATGAACAATTTCAAGATGGTAGTGTACATTTTGTAGCAAATTTTAATCTCTCAGATTATGATCCTGAATTAGTGAAAGTATTTGTACGTGATGGTCAATTAGTTGTGACAGCTAAAACAGAAAGAAGTCATTCTGCGCATAGTTTGAATACAATGAACAATCATAATAATAATAATAATAATAACGGTTCGACATCATCTCTCCGGGAATATTCACGCTCTATCAATTTACCTCCAGGTGTAGATGATGAAAAAATCTCTGCTTTATTATCATTGAATGGTATTCTGACTGTTAGTTGTCCTATGAAACCACCACCTTTTTCATCGTCAGTAGATGGACAATCCTCGGTTACTAATTCAGAAGTATCGTCCGATCGATTTTGGAATAATAATAATAATAATCATAGTAATAGTAATAACAATAACTCACCTCATTATCAATATCACTCACCTAGAAAGTTATCACAACAACTTTTAAACACCTTTGAATTAAAATCTCCAAAATTAAATCATTCAACACGTTCTGTCCATTCCGATTATGATATTAATTTACACAGTCATGATCGTGATCACCAACATCCTTTCAACGACACTCGAAGCTATGCGAACAACAATGATCTACATCGTCAGGCATATCGATCACCAAGAAAACGTCGATTTTGTTTAGAACTACCTATCGATTCAGAATATTCACCATCAGAAATACAAATTAAAACATTAAATCGTCGTATTTACGTGAAAGCACGTCATGAAGAACGTGGATTAAATCGTACAGCTGTAAGAGAATTTTCTAAAGAATATGATATACCTGATCATGTTGATCCAGAGAGTCTGACGGCGAAATTTAGTAATGGTATATTATATATTGAAGAACCAATTATATAAAAAAGCAAGAGGAATGAATGATAATGATGAATAATGCTCACATGAACCCCAACCAGCCCCCCACCCCACCACCAACACCACCACTTATTTGATAAATCTCTCACAATTACAACACTTTTGGTTTTTCTTTATCATTCTTTATCAATCTCATCTCATAGTATTTTGATAAACTATACCTGTATATTTCAAAAGGGAGAGAGAGAGAGGGGTGCTCAAGAACAGACGGCTGTAAGTTGTCGTGTTGGCTACTTGTAAACTTGCGTAGAGATGGAAAGGTTTTACAGTTTACATGTTTTTTAGTTTTAATTTCATATTTTTCTATAGAACGTATATATACACACACATACACACACACTAAAAATCAGTTTCCATGGTATATTTTTACTAATATCACAATAGTATTGAGCACCATCCTTATTGGTTGAATTGCAAAAGACGCTTTTGTAGTCATTTTAAAGAGTGCCCTCTTTCATCTACCCTCCAAGAACATGGAAGAGATGAATCAGACATCGGGAATCAATAAAACGACAATACAGTAACATCAACGAGCATTCAGAAACACGCACGCACGCATACATACATACATACAAAAGGGACAGAGATTAACTTACGTGAAGAGTTTGTTTTGCTCATCAGTCAGATCAAACATATATAAAGTTAGTCGAGTTTCTAAAGGTTATTTTGTAGATGTAAGAGTAATTGAACAGCAGTGCCTGTTGTAACATTATGTAATACATTAAAACTTTCGAGTGTCTTACAAATAAAACAGTCACTTGTTCTCTTGTATTTTTAATTTGTTCTATTAATTGTAATGCCAACACTTCAGGGTTTGTTTTATGTCAGCTATTATTATTATTATTATTGTATCCTTTAGTTCCTAGAGGAACATAGGGCTTCAGCTGAGCGCCTCCATTGCCTTTGGTTTTCTGACAACTTTTTCACCCCGCTCCAGGTCTGTCCACATGCTTTCATCTCTTCCTCGCATGACCTCCTCCAAGTCACCCTTGCATTGACGACCAACTCGCCGCCTCCTTTTCGGGTTCCACTCGAGGGCTTGTCTAGTGATGTCACTTGATGGTTTCCTCAACGTATGGCCAATCCATCTCCATTTCTATCTGCCTATTTGTTTCACAATCGGTTCCTGATTGGTTCGCTCCCAGAGATCCCTGTTTCTGATCTTTTCTGGCCATCTGATCTTTAGTATTGAGCGAAGACAACTGTTAATGAAGGTCTGAAGTTTGTTGGAGATGCTTTTTATGACGCGCCAAGTCTCTGATCCATATAGTAGCACTGATTTTACATTGGAGTTGAAAATCCGGATCATATTTTTCATGCTGAGTGCTGTTGACCTCAACACAGACATAAGAGTAATGAGAGCTTGTCTTGCTTTTCCGATTCTGGCTTTGATATCCTCGTCAGTTCCGTCGGCCTGTAGTTGAGACTATGCTTCCCAGGTAGGTGAAGGAGGTTGTTTCTTTCAGGTTCTTCCCACTTATGCTGATTGTTGTCTGTCAGCTATACGCATGAGTTTTATTGAAATGGAATGAAATAAGTAAGCTTGACTTTTAAATGGAAAGTCCTGAGTTTGAGTCCTCTTTATGGTTGGTGCGTCCTGATGATGAATCTTAAATTAGGCTGATGAAACAGCTGTTCAGTGGTTTTCAGCGGTTCTCGAACTGTGATATCAATCTGTGATCAGGCCTGAAAAGCAAATCAGATACAAAAAAAACTGATGAAAATTAATTTGATGCTCCCTGGTGACTGGCTACAGTGAGAAGTTGTAACGAGTGGTCTGTGAGGTTGCCTTGTAACCTGAAGGCTCTGGATTCGAACCTTGGTGGTAGGTGCGTACTTCTAGTGAGTCCCAGGCTAGGAAAAAACAGCTGTCTGGCTGCCCTACCTGGTTTTCAACGGTTCTCCTGGTGAAATCAGTCCTTGAATAAACTTGGAAATGTTAATAAAGAAGAATTTCAAACCATTTCATCACGAATTGAATTCATTGAGAGAACCATTAACAACTGGAAAATACTGGATGACTGTGTCATCCTTGTTTGGGACCCTTCAACAATACCTACCCATGATCCCACAAAAGATTGAACGCAAGGTAAGCTCATGTACCATTCAGTCATCCAGACTGAATCCAAAGGCGTATCATTTCTAACTTTTGCCATTGTCAATGGTGATGGTTTATCCTTACACCCAACTTGGCTTCCCCCTTTAATCATGACTCCTCACTAGAACTTCAAGCAGTATCATACTGTTGTCACTTATTATTATTAATCAATACATTAATTTTCAAGAATCGATTTTCAGGGATTTAATCAAAATGAAGTTTGATCACGAACAAAAAAAATCAGTTAGTAGAGAACCTTTGAAAATCAAGTAGCGCTAAAAATCTGTTTCGTCCTAGTTCGCTACTCTTCAAAAATGCACCCGCAATGAGGGTATGGAAAATCGAACCTGTATAGCACAGTAATTGTTATCCTGAAATCTGTCGTTATTTTCACTACATGGAAACCTTAAACTGACAGATCTCTACTTTGTAAGGCAGATTGGATTTTGTCCAAGTTGTTGAAAAGTAAACGAGGTTGCCTTAGTTTCGATCCTTGATGGTGTGATGCCTGCGTACTGTTAAAAAGAATCCTAAACAAAGGCGAAACCGACAAAGAAGTATTTGATGAATTCATCAGATTTCATGATCAAGCTTGAAACAAATCAATTCCCTACAAACTAACTCTTCAATAATAATAAGAGATGGAATAAAATGTTAATAATAATAATAATATTAATAGCAGTTAGTGAGTAAGCGATATTACTGTGGTAGATTTAAAGTGGAAACCTTCTTTCTGTACACAGTGAACGTGTTGATGAACGCAAATTTCGCAAGCCTCCGCAAATGCAGACATCTTTCTGCTTTGTTTGTCTATTTATTAGTTGACAACAGTGAGTGATTTGACAGCGTCAATATTATGATATATATGTGTAGTCAATAAGATGTTTTGTTACTGATGATTTCGGTACCTTCACTTCAGGTTTCTTCAACCATTTGAACGAATATCACATTATGCGAGTAATCAGCTAACTAGCTAATATTATTTATATAAGTAGTTACAATCTTCCAGTTTAGTCGATCTTATTGCAGTGGCTTCAGCTGTGTATAGCAGACGTAAGCAAACTGTACGCGATAACGACTCCGGAACTCGGTATATAACCCTGAAAGCTGTGTTGATATCAATGGGACGTCCCTTATCGACCAAGTGTGACACGATCGAACTTTTTATGCACTTAATTTCCCCCCTACTGAACCAAGCTGGTAAATATTCTCAAACCCGTAGACGAACCTGCCTAGTATCTACCTTGAATTGTAAACGTAAAAATAGAGATCTTTTCTCTGCTGTTGCCCGTTCATGTTTACGACGATTGTAACCTATGTTGGCTTGAATGAACTTCTCTGGATATCCGTTACAATCTAACTACTGGCATGTTTATTCCTGAGTTTATATTTTTTTTGATTTTTTTGATTTACAGCTTGATTCCACACTGTATTTTTGGTACAAGTATGGAATTTTCAGCATGGATATCGGTAGCCCAAATTTTGTAGGTCGACCATAGATATCAGGTGTGCGCCGGCGTGGGCTCGAACCCCGGACCATGTTCATGGTCGGCGAGAGTCCTAACCACTGTGCCACCGACGCACATATAGGAATTATGTTACGAAGACATTTGTCAAGAAAGCCAGCGAAAATAGAATTCACAGTAAAACAATGATGTCAACACTTAATTTGTCAGGTTTTCATCTTCTTCAGACTGCTTCGTGTTGAAGTGCTTGTGAGAGATCGAAAAAAGCATAGTAAACAGTCTAAGACTATGATTGTTGGAGCGACAGCAGAGAAAATGTTGTGATTTTGAGGAAATCAAGGTCTAAATGAATGTAAACATCACAGTTTGAAGATCAAGCTACGACCAGTTTAAACACTTTGGGGAATGGAAGGTTCAGGAAGGACAGAACATGAAGAAGATGGAGAAATGACAGGTGGAGAGGTGGAGGATAGAGAGAGAGAGAGATTACGATTCATAAAATTATTGTAATCAACTTGCTGAGCTGAAATCACATAAAAGGGATGATGGGTAATATGAAGTTATCAAGATAGTGATAGCTTGCCTAATTTCTGTTTAATTCTCAATGTTTGAATTTTGGTAATTTAAATTTCTTTCTATTCGTCATTTGATTAATTTTTATTCAATCGAAAATGCTCAATTCGTGTAGATATCTTGGCTCCTAATATGAATATGTTTCAACAACTCCTTAAGGTTACTTTTATGTTTCTTTCTATGCTGTTGACTAGCAATGGAATCCAGATTGTGCTTTTCATCTCATTAGGGTCTCATCAACTGGATATACATGCATCCCATAAGCAGCGATAGCCTTCTTACGAAGACTGGAATCGTCTCTTACTTAGGATGTAGGTATATTTAACTGATGAGCGTCAACTAAGACAGAGTTCGCATTCAGGATTCCCCTGTAAACCAGTATCAACCATTTAGTCGAGCTAAATCATGAAAATCGCTCTCTGCTATCGTTTTAACATTTAATGTGTATTATTTTTATTCCTTTATAACCCATCAGTTGACGAAAATGTGAAGTTACATCGATTAAGATGGTTAGGACATGTGTTATGCATGACTGCCTAGCCACCGCTTTCCTCGACGGTCGATGTTAGCTGACGTTATTAATAATAATAATTCCGACCTCTGAAACAGAACACCAGCTAGAACACCCCCTGCCTTTGTTGTCATAAGTGTTCAAAAAGCAGTTATGGAAAGCAACAAGTTTCAACTACTGGTCTTCTGGCCATTATTATTCGAATGGGGATTTTTCATGAATCAACTTTAAATTAGCGATAATCTAACATGTATAAGACATTACGAAACTGTTTCCATTGGGTCAACTGTGTCATTTAAGGTCGCATATTATGCTCTGAAAAATTTCAGATTTTAGGGGGAAAACGAGGTTGAATATCACGTCAAACTGTGAAAAAACGTCAACTGATGAAGTTTCATTGTTTCATTTCATTTTATGTATACAGGTGATATCACCAGAATAAAAAGAAACAGCACGTGACCGTTAATTGGCCAATTCATCTTAGCGAAAATATTTAAATCGAATAACCTTGACACATTTTGTGTTAGCCAATAAGATATGAGCTATTTTTAAGCTATTGATTACTTTGGATGGGGAAAACCTGAATAGTTCTTGAATTGTTATTCGTATGTTATATTTAGTTTGGAAGTAGCTGTGCTTTAATATTGTGACATTGTAAAGGGAGAAGGCAAGATACTTGGTACATACATAGGGTAACCTTCATTTGCAGAGAACTTCCGAGTTTGATTGGATGGAGGATTTCAGCATGAGCTGACATCAGTTAAAGAACCACTGGAAAACCAGATGAGAGTACTGGACAGCTGTTTCGTCCTAGTTTGGGACTCTTCATCAGTACGCACCCACTGGCGTTCGGACCCATGACCTTCTGGTTACATGATGAGCTTGTAGACCAATGGGTTACTGGGACCCGATCCCTACAAAATCAGTACTTGAAAACTTCTGAGTTGTGCTACTTTTGAACTTCCCATTGTACTTCTTTGTCTTCCTTTCGTTTCTCCCACGTTTCGCCGCAATGCAGTTTCATTTCCTCTCTTTGACGTTAAATCTTTCTCTCGGCTATTTGATATTTTTGTATGCCGATGGACGTCTCTTCATATACTATTGATAGATTTTATCAGTAGCTTACACCTCAGTAGTACTATATT